AGCTGCCCCAGTGAGTGAGAGGCATGGGGTTCCCATGCCTCCCAGCCACATCTGGGGTACTTTCTAGTCTGTCAGCATTCCCCAGCTCTTCAGTGAGATGTTCAGACAGGTTTCAGGGAAGGGTCTGCAGCCAGATGCTTGTGAGAAATGCAGGGGTAAGCAGTTTCTTTACCATAGGGCTTCTTGAGTTTTTAGCGCATTGGATCTCAGAAGTGGGGTAAGGGAAGGTAGTGGGGGTGTGGATAGACAGTATAAAATACAGTGATTCTCAGACTTGTTTGACCACAGGACCTTATCTGGTTGAGGAATCCTAAAATGGTTTCAGAAATACTAAAAGTGGAGGGCACCTGCGTAGCTCAGTTGGCTAAGCATCTGACTCTTGATTTTGGCTCAGGTCATGATCTCACGGTCGTGAGATTGAGCCCTGCGTTGGGCTCTGCGCTGGTAATGGAGCCTGCATAAGATTCTCTCCCTTTCCCTCTGCTCCTCCTCCCACGCTTAAAAAAAAAAAAAAAAAATACTACAGGTGGGAAGTGACTCGATTGTGAGTTGGTGATTGATCCTGCACCCCCCCCCCCCAAAGACAGCTGTGGGTCCAATTGTCAGTCCAAGAACAAGTCCCTTTTCCCGGACAATGGATAGCTTCTCCATCCTTCACAGTTGTCTATTCTTCATGAAGCGTCTGACTGGGTGTCAGGCGAAGGGCTCCCATAAGCCTCTGCCCTTCCATGTCATTAGATATACTTTGCGTCTTTTTCAGTGATCACTCAAGCCTTCTGCTTCTTGGGTGTGACATAATTTACCAGTCCTTCACTATGGAACGTTAAGATTGATTGTTTCCAGTTTTCTTGTAGTGTAAATGACACTGTGGTGAACATCCTCATGGCTAGAGGTTTGTGCACATCGATGGGATGGCATTCTTAGATGTGGAACAGTTGGGTCACATGGTATCCACAGCACACTTTATAACCATGAGTGCATCAGCCACCACATTGCTTCACAGACGTCTGAGTTTCACTTTCCAGCATCGTTCCAGGCAAAGGTACTAACCAGCAGTGTCGGGAGATGCCGGCTGTATGGGCAGCCTTGACCTTGGTAACCAGCACCTGGGAAGTCAGCGCAGGGCCTCGTGTTGTGGGCTGCACTGCCCTGTCCGGCCAGTCTGGCACTGGAGGCCTGGGACCCAGCCCCTTGTTCTTTTTCCTCACCCTGCTTGCTGAAGCTCGGCTCCAGCAGCGGGGACTTCATATATACTGATTGATTTAGATTTAGATGTTTTTCCCCATGTAAGAGCTCGGTAGTGGAGACCCATTTATCTGAATGCTTTTTATGTCCCTGAAACCTTGTGCAAGAGGCACAGATTAGACTATAGAGCCAATGGGGCACTGGGGGCCTCGTTTGCAAGAAGGTTTCCGTCGCCGCTTTTATAGCCTGGATCTTGCCTGGCTCCTAGAAGGTGGCCGGCGTTCTCAGACAGGGAGTCTCGGGTGGGGGTTTATGGGCAGCAGTGGTTGGTGGCATTCTGTTTTCACTCACATAGATCGTTTTGGAGAAGGACCGACTCTTGGATATGGACTAGAATGAACCCTTCAAAGCCAGCGGGGAGATGGTCATACTCGGGCCTCCCATGTGCAGACAGACCACATCAGAACTGCTTGCCGAGTCTCGGGAGCCTCATGAAAACCCAGATGGGGAGGTGGTCACGTTCCCTTCCTGCTCAAGGGATTCCAGGCTCTGAGAGTTCTGGTACCTTGAACAGTGTCACTCAGCTATAAGGAGAGAGGCAGTACTGGGACTGGCAGCCCGCTTGGTCTGACTCCAAAACTGGACCACACCAAACATTGTGTTCAGGAATCTGTAACGTTCTATTAGAACAAAATCTGAGTGGTTACGAGGTCTTGTAGGAGATGAGTGTAACACGATTCTTAATTTTTAATTATGTGATTAGTACCTGAGTACTTCTGGTGTTAAATATTGCTAAAACACAGAGGTGTATGAACTATAACATGAAGAGCATCTCCCTGCCCCTCGCTGCCCTTTTTCTGTGCATTTATATGTGTTAATATCTGCTCTGGTTCAGCCTTCAAAGCCATTTCAGTTCTAACTGGAGGCCCTATTGTGTGCCTGCTCTATTTCTTTAATTTCAGCAAACCCGAATTAGATAGCAGCATGCTAACTAACTCTGTAACTTCGGGTAAGTCACCCCTCCAAGAGAGAGTAAGTATCGGATCCCTTATCTGTACACTTGGTGTAACCGTCCGGAGCATCACGGGGCTTTTGAGAGAATTATGAGATAACAGTGTCATGGCCCAGGGTGTATGGCACAAATGAAGGTACTCGAAAGTTACCTGAGGTTGTGCCCCCCAGTGTTGCAGGATATGGGGAACGGATGTCGTTAGTACTCTAATTCCAAGTCACGTGGACAACAATGCTATAAATAGCCATGAATACAAAAGAAGCTGTAAGTCAGCTATAAATGCCACCAGAGAGGTGTTAGCAGCAGATGGAGCTCCAGGCTCCAGTGGGGAGCAGTTAAACCATGGGGGGAATTAGAGAAGGCTTTCTGGAGGAAGTACCCTCTAGGAAGGAGGGTTTGGGGGCCTTAGTAGTACTAACTTACTTAGCCTTGACTTTGTGTCGGTCGGTATTCACATCATCCCACATAAACTGACACACTAGGAACTCTGAGGCCAGAAGTGTAGTTTTATAGGTGAGGGGTCTGAGACAGGGAGGGGTGGAGCCACCGGCCCTAGGACACAAAGCTAGTAAGTACCCGAGCTAGTAAGTGTTGGAGCATGGGCACTCCGTGCTCTTCACGGGCTGTGTTGATAAGCCTGCTGGATCTCCAGGAGAGTCTGGCTGGAAGAGTGTAGCAGCCAACGTGAGCAAGGCTGGGGGGTGGGGGAGAGGCGGGTGTGCGGGGGGTGGGGTGGGGGAGAGGCGGGTGTGCGGGGGTGGGGTGGGGGGTAGTGGTAGTTCATGACATGGCTGGACAGGGTGATGGTAAGCAGATAAGAGAGCACCTAGAGCCACTAATCTGTGGTGGTTTGGTCTCCTCCCACCCCTGTTCTGTCACTGGAGTGGGGGAAGCGTCTGCCCTTCCTGACATCCACCCTGTGAGTGACACCTCCCAACCTGCCCTGCTCTCAGGCGGCCCAGTGGCTTGTAGACAGACTTTGTGGTGTCCCTCAGTGGTAGCCCTTCCCCTCAGCCTCTCAAAGACTAGAGGCTTATTGGTATTTCAGTCATTGCTTTTTGAAATTCATTTACGAAAATCTACTTGCAGATTTGTCTTATACTAGCATCACACACACACACACACACACACACACACACACACACACACACACAAAGAGTGTGCACTCGTTCCTTGAAGGAGCCATGTTGGTGACACGACCGAGCATGTCCTCACCGCTTGTACCTGGGGCTGCCAAGGCCCTTTCGACATTGTGTGTGATGCCCTTGCACTTTGATTGCTTCACCGGGCGGCACAATGGAGTCTCTGTCAACATGCCAGCTAATTAATTTTCAGTTGGTGATATTGCTTCATCTCCATGCCCTGTTCACGTTGTCCGATGTTTTCCCCGGTTCTGGCTGGAGGAAAGCTCTGGAGAGGGCGGATGTGGATTCTGACCCTCCCTCCTGTCCCTTCGGTGAAGGCCTGGGTCTTTTCCATCTCCATCTCCCTCAGCCCAAGGGAGAGTGTTGGGCACTCCTTTTGGGAGAGGTCTTAATTATTAGAGTGTTAAAATGAGCACAAACTTACTCATTTGGCCTCCTCAAGGGCAGAGTTGTGTGAGAACCGAGAGAAGCTGGAAATGCAGACAACTGGTAAAAAAGACTGTTTCGGTTCAGTACTGCCAAGTTCACCATCGCTGTGGCAAGGAGGAGGGGCCATCTGCCTGGGCAGGGAGAGGGCAGGATTTGTAATTAGCACATGTGCTTTGGATATTTCTAAAGGGCTTAAAATAGTGTGTCCTTTTGAATATGAATTTGCTTAGACCACCCCAGGTCCCCTTCCTCTCCCGTTTTTTACATTGCTGACGTTAATCCTGGGTTGAGCATTCATATTTGTTTGTAGAATTTAATTTTCTGTTTATATTTTTTTCTGTCGCCGGTGGTTTTTTTTTTAAGATTTATTTATTTATTAGAGAGAATATGTGATCGGGGGGAGGGGCAGAGGGAGAGGGAGAGTGAGAATCCCAAGCAGACTCCCTGCTGAGCTCTGAGCCCAACGAGCCCAACAAGGAGCCTGAGAGGCGCCCGACGCTGGGGACTGGCTCTCACGACTGCAAGTTCGGGACCTGAGCTGAAACCAAGAGTTGGGTGCTCAACCAACTGAGCCACCCAGGCGCGCCTGTCACTGGTGTTTTATTGTGAGAAGCCTCACCCGTTACTTTGTGTTTAAAAGGAGTGCTGGGTTGGAAAGCAGGAGGCACCTCTCACCCTTCCTCGCGGCCTGACCCTGGCAGGTCCGCTCCTCCTCCCCATGCCTCAGTTTCTCCATCTCTAAAGTGGAAGTGCTGGACTAGCTGTCCTCATGCTGAAACCCGGCTATGATCTTAGACCCTTTGTGTTGGACTCTGGAATAGGGTTCAGCAAGCTTTTTCTGTGAAGGGCCAGGTAGTAAGTATTTTAGGCTTTGTGGGTTGTATGGTCCCTGTTGGCAGCCACTCAGCTCTGCATCAGAGCACAAAAGCAGCCATATAGAGTATAGAAATGAAGGCGTGTGTCTGTGTTCCGGTGAAACTTTATTAACAAATACAGCTGGTGGGTCGCATTTTGCTCCTGGACCTTAGTTTGCCAGTCCCAGCTCTAGAGTGTTCTCTTTGGATTTTGTAATGTTTTCTCATGCACGAGACTAGTCTCCAGGGAAGAATTTCTTACTTGAGTTAGGGACCAACACCTGAGCCCTTCTGAGACCTGACCTTGCCAGGAACCTGGTCTGTCCCCTATGTTTCCCCTCTGGTAACTGGTGAGGTGGCCTCTCCAGACTTCTCTAGAGAGCAGGAGTGCCTTGCTCTATGCAAATTGCCCTGTTCTGAAGAGTTGTAAGATATGGTAAATCTGAGCTTAAGTCTGATTAAGGAAGCTCTCTACCACAAAACAGCATACCTTTGCCTATGTCCTTTCCCTGTATATTTTTCCTGTGATACACCTTTACAGTGAGAGAGAGAAAAAAATCAAACCCTGCTTGCTTTTGTCACTGAATGGCTTTCTTGGTATTTTATTTTGACACTAAAAAAAAATTGGTGGTGCACAGGGTAGTTTCAGGGACCACCAGTATTGTGCTCCCCACTTGTATATAACGTGTTTCTTTACAAGGCTACTTCTTTGAGGGCCCGAGAAGGTGGTGGTTAGTGAGGGGAAAGTATAAAGAAAGGTTACTGCTCTTCTTTGTAACTGTCAGTGTGGTATCAGATGGCTGATTTGGTAGCAAGATTGTCTCTCATTTCTTTGAATTGTGCTAAATAATACTTTTGCTCCAGGTGAAGAAATGCTCATCATTTACATTATTGCTGAAGGCTCTGTGTGTGTGTGTGTGTGTGTGTGTGTGTGTGTGTGTGTGTGTGTGT